AAAGTACTTTTATGTATACAAGCGAGGAACACGCATAAACTTTTGCCGGGCCTTGGAAGAGTTTTAAAAGATGTACCTGCCATTAACACAACTTCTCAAACACCCCAGGAGGCACTGAATCCAAGGCAATATGTACCGTTGTCAAGACGTCGTCAATACAACGGAAACCAAAATATCACTGGCCTTCGTCACCAAGGAACTGTCTTAGCAATTTGCTTTTCTGTTGTTTGATAAGACAATAGGGGATGCAAGGGAAGAATAATTCTAGCTAGACAGAAAAGGTAAAGCGCGAAGCGGGATCGGTACGCTTTAAAACCAATACGCGAAAATAAGGCCAACCTCCGATGAGTGGAGAACACCAAAAGTAACGCTAGGAGAAATTTATTAAGTGGGCGAAAGGCTATCTAGTGCTAAAAATAAGGCACCGAAAGATAGCTAGCTAGGGAAAGGTGTGGTCGCGTGCGCGGAGAGCAAAGATGGCCGCGGAGCCGAGGAGCGTCGCGCCGTTCGAAGGCGGATGCTATGTTGACTCAAACAAACGCGAGCAACGTTCAAACAGGCGAGCGGCTAATTTGCAATGTACATCGATAAAATGTAATTATATGATTTTGTAATATTTTACGCAGCATGCGGCAGCCAAACAGGGGAATCTCCAGGTCACTACAAAGGTTTTTCGCCATTTCTTTCAACAGTCTATAGGTAGATTTTATGAAAAACCTGACCGGATCTGTATGGGTGCCTTCACAATGAACACGATAATTTCGATCGCCACGTTTTCCATCTTAATGCCGGTAAGTCAGCGTGGGAGAATGTATGCCCTAAAGCACAGGTCACTAAAGGGAAGCACAACAAGTGTGTACGGAACACAGTGCAATCAAAGAGTGACAGAACATTCTCGACTGCTTTAAAATGTTTCGAAATACGGTTAGCTCGGGTTGCTGAATCAATTCTGTATTTGTTCTCCGAGTTTGGCTGTTTTGTCGCAAACGTTTCACCACCATGCGAGGTGGCATCCTCAGTGAAGTAATATGCAAAAGAAGTCCTGGCACAGGGTGAAACAAGAAGAGAAAGAGAATTCCTGGAAGCTTGGTTCTCAACGAAACATTCAATCAGCATGCGCGTGGACATCGATTCAATATACGAACCACCACGACAGAAAGAAATAATGAACCTTTTGTCACGCGGTTTAAGGCAGAACAACTTGGGCACCGAGTTTAGCCTTGGGGAAAGTGGGTAGAGGTCACGGGACGTGAATCGACACTGCCACTTTCAAAACTCACTTGCAGGTCGATCATGGATGGAGGAATCATTCAATACGATTTCACGCCGCATATCACTGCACTGAGGATGCCACCTCGCATGGTGGTGAAACGTTTGCTACAAAACAGCCAAGCTCGGAGAACAAATGCACAATTGATTCATCAACCCGAGCTATCCGTATTTCGAAACATTTTAAACAACTACGGACGTTCAGCGCTCCGATGTGCTCGCTGTTGGGAGGACTTCGCTTGTAGACAAGCCTCTACAAGACAGCAGTTCTTCTTTCTTCATGAATGTCTGAGAAAAGATATTCTTCCTCGCAATATCAGATACAGACCGCCGATCGATCATCCTCAAGCGTGGACTGCTGCTCGACAATTCGGGAGGAGTATGATACGGTTAATGATCAATGACGCTCACAATCGTCTCAGAAAATATGACAGAAGTATGAACGAACATCGGTCTAGCTGCCTTCAAGTCGTTGGACAACAATTAACAGAACAACTAGAAACTGCAATACAACGCCGGGTAGCAAACGCCATGACGGAAAGGCAGGATGCACTTCTCGATAATTTATCAAAATTGACTTCTCCTAAAGATCAAAATATCAGTGACGGCTGGATTAGAAATCTTTCCAACCGACCAATCAACGATGTCGCAAAGCAAGTCCTCATCAAGGGATTAAATTACAACTACAGATGCAACGGCTACCGACTTCTTAGCATCATTTGAAAGCGCCCTACAATCCAATGGGTTGGAAGAAGAGACTCGGAAGCAAATAAGACACAAAATTGTTCCTGCTATAACGCACGACAAGCAATACAGCGCCTTAACCAGACAAGAGAAAGAGACAACGAATACCCTGAAGTCTGATGAAACAATCATTATCATACCAGCTGACAAGGGACGAATGACTGTCATAATGGATCAGAAGGATTACCTTGAGAAAGCCACACGCCTCTTGAATGACACAACAACCTACAGGTGCATCGACACCGATCCAACTTCGCAGCTGACAAACAAAGTAAACAAAACATTGAAGCAACTTCAGGAATTGAAGCAAATCACGAAAGAAGAGCGCGACAGGATGAGAGCCCGCGACTCGAACATCGCGCAATTCTACGGACTCCCAAAGGTGCACAAAGATGATGCACCGTTGCGGCCTATCGTGTCTCTCCCGGGAACACCCACCTACAACCTGGCGAAAGAAATGTGGAGACGCCTCAAACATTTGACCTGTGGATCGCAATATTCCATAACCAATGCCCAGCAGTTTCTGCAAAAGATCAAAGACCTGCGAATAGATAATGATGAAACAATGATATCATTCGACGTGACTGCGCTCTTCACGTCTGTTAACTTGCAGACAGCAATAGCGGTCATCACAGAACGGCTGAACGTCAGTGAACAACAAATCGGAAAAATGACGACCGAAAATGTATGCAAACTACTCCACTTGTGTCTGTCGACCTACTTCTCATTCAATGGAAAGATTTATGAGCAATTGAAAGGCGCACCAATGGGATCACCTGTGTCAGGACTCATCGCAGAGATGGTTATGCAGAAATTGGAGGAGGATGTACTACCACTCATCAATCCGAAACTGTGGGTTCGGTATGTGGACGACACTTTTGTGATAATCAGACGCAACCAAATAACAGTCGCACAACAGCTATTGAATAACGCCATGGAAGGCATCCAATTTACAATGGAACCGGAGAAGGAAAGCCAGCTCCCTTTCTTGGACGTATTAGTAACAAGAACCATGGAAGGCGAGCTGCAAACATCGGTCTACAGAAAAGGCACACACACAGACCAAATTCTGAACTTTAACAGCAACCACCCGAAATGCCACAAAGTAAGCTGTGTGCGGACACTGTTTCGCAGAGTGCAAACACACTGCAGTACCACAGAAGCAAAGCAAAAGGAAGAAAAGCACCTATTTAAATGTTTCCAACTCAACGGATACCCACGAAGCTTCATCCGAAGGTGTCTGAATCACAACAACGTAAACATACAGCCTACAACAACAACAACAACAGCAGCAGCAACAACAACAACGACAACAGAGAAACGGGTTGTTCTGCCTTATATGAAGAATATATCGGAAATGGTAGCCAGACTATTCAAACAGCATCATCTCATCGTGGCACACAAACCAACTGCCACGTTGAGAAAAACCCTTTCAAAACCAAAAGAAAAACTGCAGGCACATGAACAACGCAATGTGGCATACAAAATACCTTGCCGAGATTGCGAAAGGAATTATGTTGGCCAGACGGGAAGAAAACTGGTAACAAGGATACAAGAACATAAAAGAGCCTGTGTAAAGCATTATGCATCGTCGCTAGTTTCATTGCATGTAGATGAAGAAGGACATAGCTTCGATTGGAGCAAAGCAGAAGTCCTGGCACGGGGTGAAACAAGAAAAGAAAGAGAATTCCTGGAAGCTTGGTTCTCAACGAAACACTCAATCAACATGCGCGTGGACATCGATTCAATATACGAACCACTACGACAGAAAGAAATAAAGAACATTTTGTCACGCGGTTTAAGGCAGAACAACTCGGGCGCCGACTTTAGCCTTGGGGAAAGTGGGTAGAGGTCACGGGACGTGAATCGACACTGCCACTTTCAAAAGTCACCTGCAGGTCGATCATGGATGGAGGATTCATTCAGTAAGATTGCACGCCGCATATCACTGCACTGAGGATGCCACCTCGCATGGTGGTGAAACGTTTGCGACAAAACAGCCAAGCTCGGAGAACAAATGAACAATTGATTCTCGACTGCTTTGTGGTTGCAAGACGATAGAGTGATGTGTTTTTGTGCGTACGTGCGTGCAAGTGTGTTTACTGACGCTCAGCCTGATGTCAGTCAGTCAGTCAGTCAAGAATGTGCTTTATGCGCCTATTAATGGTGAAGATTCAGCTCTAACACACAGGTCAAGAAGAGGGATAAATAGTGAAAAGGAATAGTACTTGAGTTTAGAAATAAAACTCCAGTCATCAAGGAATCGAACTCTGGTAAACATGACACTTCCACAGTGGGTTTGGTTGTGGTCTCAATGTTTATTTATTTATTTAGTTTATTTGAATTAGACAGGTTATTCTGATCACTGATACACTATCCAAAGTGCAGTAGTAGCACTCTTACTTACTCTCAATACTACGCTTCGCGAATGATTTCCCTGTCACCAGGACTCATCAGTTAAGGATATTCGGAATGAAAAATAAAACTCAGCATTTCATGACTGGGGACTAAGGCCTTAAAGACATCAGGTGCTCCAACAACAAAGCATTGCATTCCTAACCCCTGTGCCAAGTTTTCTTACGGTTCATTGTAATCTAGTGATTATGGTGCCGACCGATAACCTTTACGTTCAGAGTTCCAATTTCCATACATGCAATGCCTACCTCCTACATCCAAGCTAAGAGTAAATTTTTCAGAATGGGCAACTCCGAAATCTCGCTACGTGCCCGGGAGTTAAAAACAGTTCAACAGCAGTTTGCTCACGAGAGTATGGAAACCACTGCGGATTACCGTCGGTTTCTGAACCAAACTATACGGTAAACAAAGGAAGCATGCGCACGGCATTGATGGTTTTTTTCCATCCATTACACGGCACATATTCTTCATTTAGTACGCTACAATCCGTTCACCGAGCTGGAGCTGCACGTCTACGTGCCCGTTTCAGGTATTTATGTTTACTGACGATTGTACTTCCTTCGTTTTGGCAGGCTACTCTCTCGAATGAAATCCGGATGACTGCAGAAATGAGCCGAAGGCTAAAGAGCTTAGATGAACAGAACGCAAACATCCGTGATGAGATCGACAGGTTACGAGACGTAAGCGAGACTACAGTTTGCGTGTTTGATGGTGCGCTTGTTTAGGTCCTGAGCAAAATGCCGAAAATGAATTGTAGATGCCATGGTATTTTAATGCAATAGTAAATCAGACTACAACCAAATGTTCCATAAGATTATCATGCCGTCATTTTGACCACATTGTTTGCTTAGACTTAGTGGATCCGGCAGCATACTAGGATGTCTGTAAAAATAGTTAAGATAATTAGCATATTTAGTTTAGATTACAACTGGTTTACAACAGATAGTGATACCAATGAGGTCTGGTCCGTTGAAAGGTGAGGAGTTAATCTACAAACGACATAGCACAACACCGAAAATAATCCCACAACACTGACGCCTCGCTGTGTTCATTTCTACTATACTAGTGTTACGATTATTGGCAGGGCCTTAAAGATTGGCCGTAATATGCTGTTCTATCCTCTGAACTATTTACACACACGCTTTCGACAAGTCTGTTTTCATTTTTCTACACAAAGCCATACAATAATCAGGGTCATCTTAATCTAAGGGTGTTACCTTTCGCTTCAAGACAGGCCAGTGCATTCTCTGCATATAGGCTGCGGTAATGTTGACAACTAACTTTACCGATGTCCTGAACGCACCACCACCCAAGTGCTCATGGTTCACTGTGGCCCGTGTCGAGCAGTAAATAACGACAAGGCCTCAGAATAAATCTTTATTCTAAGTACTCCTCCACCCCGACTGTGTCCAACTCTGAGAATGAGTTACCTGTCCCTTCAGTTTACTCCTCCTGCACCTGGGTACTCCACACTAAGAGGGAACCGAAGCCGTGCCTTCTCTACCAGGTCGGCAGAAACACTACCACCCAGCAAGAACAAGCATAAACTGAGGAATAAGTCCAAGACTTATGCCGTATTCGTAAGTGCCAACGCCTCAGCAACAGCTAGAATAACCACAGCTGCAAACAGCCAAGAAAAAGATGTCCTCACTGCTCAAGGTGGAAAAACATAAAATCAGAGCTAAATCTCCTTCTAGACTGAGTAGCCCAACTTTAGCAACGGGTTTTAGAAAAGAAATGCCTCCATCTGTTATCGTCCCCAGAAAGAAACTGGATGCCTGATCACAAAAGCTGCCTGATAATCACAAAAGCTTCCGAATCAGGCAAGGAGACCCCAGTTGATATCATACTCGACGACCATACCTTTCTTACGCGAATGGTCTCCACTGTTTGTTGAGCGTGAACAAGGGATAAATCTCGTCAGTTTTTAGCCTCAGCATAACCCATCTAAGTTTCGTCCTCTGAAAATCATGTCAGGATGAAGAAGAATGCCAGCCTATCATGAGACCGGCGTTGCTCCTTAAGGGAAAACTCTTCTACGTCCTGAATGACATCTTCCCGAAGGACCAAGTCAGTATGAAGCTAGGTGCCTTTCAGCTGCGACCCTGACGAGTATATGGAGAAACATATCTACACATTGTGCATTTTCGCGTGATAAGAAAACCCAGTGGGCCCGATGTAGGCCTATCCTCCTTCTTGTACGTCAAACCTAAGGTACGGATTGTAGGTAATACATGCGAACATGCGCAGTCGCCAAAGCAAGCTACATGACATTCCACTACTTATTTCTGAGCAGCAACTGGATCTAATGGCTTTCACCGAAAGTTGGCCGTCATCTGAGATATCCGACTCGGAAGTTCTGGCTATAGGATATCAGCTGCTTTAATCCGATCGCATTGTTGGAAGGTGTGGATGCGGAGTAGTCCTTTATTCGACGAACTGCCTCATAGTCCAAATTGTCGAACTCGATTGTGACAATGGTAATACGTCAAAACTACTGGTGTCGAATACGTAACGAACATCAATGGCTAATGGTCGAGGTAGTCTACAGAGTATGCAGAGGCCTTACCATATTGCAGACGCTGATCGCTGGAACTACTAACCAATCGGTGGACTATCGGTTTTGGTCACACATGCTGATATCAGTTCACACGTCCATGACAAACGCTTAGAGTCCGGTGAATAAACGGTAAAATAAAAATCGTACACACATTTACGCGCGCACCCGTTCGTACACACATATTCACACACGAACTTAACACACCCAACTATAAAGGCCCACTGTATAGTACAACAGTACGAGGAAACACAGGCTTTTTCCAACTAATGGAGTACACAGCGAACCACAAAAGTCAGGTGTTAGATCAGACCAAAGTCAAATGCGCACAGAAAGGAAACAAATTTACTTGTTCGGGAAGGTAAGTGCGCAATTTTCCCAAGTATGCGTGTGCCTTGTATCAGAACAGTCTCAGTTACAATCAGACTAGAGTTTTTCTGTGTGGCAGAACATTTATCACAAGCGTTTGTTTCATACCACCCACATGTCCCGTGATTCACTTGAGATCAATAAATTCGAATTAGCACTCAGCCGTGATTTGAACTGTAATCATAGTGTTTTCATACCCACGTCGGCCCGTGCAGTGTTTCGCAAATATAGTTCCTGTCCGGTGCCTTGTCTTTTGACTCGCTTGGCGCAATCTAAGAAGCTGCTAAGTCGAACCCTTGGGGACACAACAAATGATCACATGCTGTTGCTGGCTATGGTTCGAGAAAGGGCATTGCGGCCTACATAGCCAACCGGCTACAATGTTGGACTCTTACATTAATGGGGTATGATTTCGAGATCCACTACCGGTCGGCAATTTTCCGTGGCCAAGCGAATGCACTGTCACGCCTAATTGACGCCCACCAGCAAGAACATGAGAACACAATCATTGGCTCGATCGAGATAGAACCTGAAGTTGATTATCTGTTAAGTGATGCATTGTACGGTCTACCAGTTACCGCCGAAGCCGTACGAACCGAAAGGATTCGGGACCCAGTAATCAAGAAAGTTACACAGTTCCACAAAACATGTTGGCCACGTTCCTGTCTAGCTGCTGAGTTGCAACAGTACTTTCAGAGGGGACACTCGCTCTCTACTGTGAACGACTGCATACTATTTTCGGAAAGAGTGGTCATCCCCAATGCGCTTCAGGAGCGCCTTATTCGACAGTTCTACGCCGGTCATCCTGGGATCAACCAGATGAAGATGCTTGCTCGCAGTTATGTATACTGGATTTTCTTGGACAAACAGCTAAAAGAAATAGCTACACGCTGCCAAAAGTGCGCCAATGTCTTTACAGCGCCACAAAAAGCAGAGCTCTATTCATAGCCAAAATCTACTAAACCATGGTGTCGCATTCATGTCGACTTCGCAGAACCGATCAACGGCCGAAGTTTCCTCATTATGGTCGACTCATACAGCAAGTGGCCTGAAGTATTTCTCATGGACAGCACAACCACCAATGCCACTATACCAAAACTGCGCCAAACCTTCAGCAGCTTCGGCTATCCTGAGACAATTGTAACTGACAGTGGCACATAATTGACTTCAGGAACTTTTACAAAGTTCTGCAAGCAATGCGCAGTCCAGCACAATCGCTCGCTACAGTCGAATAGGCAGGCAGAAAGCTTTGTCGATGCGTTCAAGCGAGGTCACAACAAATCAAAAGTGGAGGGACATATAGAGGAGGTTGTTGACTGGTTCCTTTTCCTCTACCGATCAACACCGAATCCACAATTGCCGGACTGAATTTCTCTAGCACAGGCTATGATGAACCGGAAGCTCCCCATGCCTTTCGACGCAATCCGACCACGCTCGGAATCCTCTGTTGGTAAAAGAAAGCGCAGAATGGAACAGGATTTTAACCGGCGGCATGGGGCAAAGAACCGATCGTTTACACTTGGACATAAAGTGCTAATACGCGACTACGGGGAAGGCCACGCGAAGTGGACGCCAGTGACAGTCAAAAACAAAAGTAGGAATGTCATGTAAGACGTGATCATGGATCTGGGCCAGGTGTGCAAACATTTTACGGCCAACATTATGCCAACTAGAACAGGCGTTGCCTACCGACCCGTTCGACTTATTGTGGGAAAGCTTCAACTTACCGAAGGAAGCAGTGGACGACTGCTCACAGTCGAGCAAGGAATCCAGAACAAGGACATCTGAACAGAGTACTCGGGCACTTCTGCCAAGGAGATGGACCGGCAAGCAGAGAACACCGCCCTGAAGACTGCAAATTAATCCCAGGTTTTCATCCTATACTTTGAACAATACCTCAGGAGGAGAGGTGTCCGAGAGAAAGTAAGAATTGCTCAGAAAATGCACTATTTGCCCATTAAGCGATTATTCACGATTATCGCATCGATTTCGTACGTTCTAGAATGTTCTGCACGTGACTACAAACCACTTGACACCTCGGCCAAAGCTATGGTGAACCACTTACCTTGGTAGTTGGCCCTCCAATTCCAGAAGTCGAAGGTCAGTGAGAGATCTATAAATACAGGCGAGGTCCGCGGTAGTTGTACAGTGTTTGTTGACGGCAGTTAATACGTTATTGGGTCAAGGTCAATGGCGTTCTGCTTGTTCCTTCGGTTGAGCTAAAAGTTTTGTGGAGCAATAAAGTGTTAATTTCGGAATCGCATCTAGTGAGCAGATTATAACAGTGATGCATCAGACATGACGTCAGGTCAGGTCAAACGGACGATAGAGGCTTTCGGCTAACGAGCGTCCAGTTCCTTGTGCCAGTAAGTGAAGCGTCCCCCGGCACTTCGACCTTGGATGGACTTTTTGCTTCTGCAATAGAATGAAGCGAGAACAAGCGCAATCTTTGCACTTTCATGTGTCAGCATCAAAATACACTACAAATTCCGGTACAAACACTACATATTCCAGTAAAAAATGAGTGAATTACAAACTGAGCAGAACAAAATAATAGGTGGGGTCACCAAATTATTAGCACAATTTCCATGTATATGATGTGGGCAGAAATTACACGCTAGTAACACCAGGCTGTGTATAACCAATGTGTATGATTCGGACACAATAAACTTCATAAACAAAAACCGTTTAAATCAAACTAATGTCTGACTTATAGGTAGTTCGCTGGAAAATCCGTTGATTAGTCGAAGCCTA